ATTCTGACATGCTCTTTGGTGGGTGCTTCATCATTGAGAAAAATGGATGCGTGTAGGCCTCCTAAGAAAGCGGTCATGGCGACCTTGTCATTAGGCTCCTCAATGTGAAAGTAACTTCTCAGGCTTTTATCCTAGTCTTGTTTTATGCTGAGCAAATGGGTGACCGGCTTCTGGTGGCAACATTCGCCAATGAATTATGTCACAAAAGATCTGCTTAGTTTGGCGAAGGATCCTATGGAGACTAAGATGAGTTNACCTTGTCATTAGGCTCCTTAATGTGAAAGTAACTTCTCAGGCTTTTATCCTAGTCTTGTTTTATGCTGAGCAGATGGGTGACCGGCTTCTGGTGGCAGCATTCGCCAATGAATTGTGTCACAAAAGATCTGCTTAGTTTGGCGAAGGATCCTATGGAGACTAAGATGAGTTTAGCGAACCACTGTCGGGTAGATTCCTTCATGGTAGTCGAGAAAATCCTACACATGATTTCATCAAGAACATTGTGCAACTACATCAACAACTTGTAAGTTTCAAGATGATCAAGTGGGTCTTTTGTGTCGTCAAAAGTTTCGACGAATGGCATTATGAACTTTTAAAAAAGTGGGTAATTCGCCACATCTGGTACAAAGGGTGTGTCTGTTCGCCTAACGAGGTAGTCCACTATCTCAGGCCCTTGTGCCTTCATGGCGTTGAAGACATTATCCAGTTAATTTTGCACTTTTTAAATTTTTTTCATCCTACTGATTGGGAACTCCTTTAGAATTATCGTGGAAATGACTATCATGCTTCACGCTTTGATTATTTCCTTCATCTTCTTTAAAAGGAGGGTCTCCGCAAGAGATATACTTGGGTGAGAATTTTGTCGTTCTCACAGAGGGCGTCAAACTGATGATGCACAAATTAGTTTTATGCACCATAAGTCAAGTGATCAGNACTGATTGGGAACTCCTTTAGAATTATCGTGGAAATGACTATCATGCTTCACGCTTTGATTATCTCCCTCATCTTCTTTAAAAGGAGGGTCTCCGCAAGAGATATACTTGGGTGAGAATTTTGTCGTTCTCACAGACGGCGTCAAACTGATGATGCACAAATTAGTTTTATGCACCATAAGTCAAGTGATCAGTAATTAATGTAGATAATAAAATAGAGAAAAAAAAAATTCAACACAAGCAACACACAATTTAAATGGTTTAGTTAAGGTGATTTACGTCCACTCTGAAGGGCTTTAGTTGGGGTGTTTTATTGTTGTAGGAGTGTAGGATGAGCAAGAAGATACAAGTTATGAGATAGAGAGGAGAGTGATAGCAGATGTGCTCAATTAAGTGTGATGTCCCCCAAGTGTTGGCGAGGTTTACAATTTATAGTCGCCTCTATCAGNAAATTCAACACAAGCAACACACAATTTAAGTGGCTTGGTTAAGGTGATTTACGTCCACTCTGAAGGGCTTTAGTTGGGGTGTTTTATTGCTGTAGGAGTGTAGGATGAGCAAGAAGATACAAGTTATGAGATAGAGAGGAGAGTGATAGCAGATGTGCTCAATTGAGTGTGATGTCCCCCAAGTGTTGGCGAGGTTTACAATTTATAGTCGCCTCTATCAGTAACTAGAAGACTAATTTGATAGAGCTGGTGCCATCTTCTCAATGGATGAGTCAGTTACGGCGCTCCCCATAAGATCTTGTCAAAAGATGACGTGGTGGTTTACTTCTTCTAAGGCGGCATGGATGAGACTCTTAGATGACTCTTACTCCAAAGTGGCTTGAATGAGCTCTTGGGATGACCCTTACTCTAAGGTGGCTAAGATGAGACTCTTGGGATGACTCTTACTCCAAGGTGGCTAGAATNCCCTTATTCCAAGGTGGCTTGAATGAGGCTCTTGGGATGACCCTTACTCTAAGGTGGCTAAGATGAGACTCTTGGGATGACTCNCTCTTACTCCAAAGTGGCTTGAATGAGCTCTTGGGATGACCCTTACTCTAAGGTGGCTAAGATGAGACTCTTGGGATGACTCTTACTCCAAGGTGGCTAGAATGACCCTTCCTCATCCCTTTGTGATGTAACTCCTCAAACCCTGATTGCTGATTGGACATGGACCTCATTTGGACTGGNTCTTACTCCAAGGTGGCTAGAATGACCCTTCCTCATCCCTTTGTGATGTAACTCCTCAAACCCTGATTGCTGATTGGACATGGACCTCATTTGGACTGGACCCATTGAATCTTATCTAGTTGGACTCTTAATTTAAACTAGGTTCATAGCATGAGTTGGGCCTGGTCTATCATATCCTGTTTATCACCCATTAAAGTTTCATTCAAACCTGTTTAATCTATGTTGATTTGTATCGATTAATTGTGTCGTGTTAAATTTTGACAGACCTACACATGTTCATCTGTATGCATACAAAAACACGACTTCCCAATTGCATTTGTCTTCTAATCTCAATGTATTGGTTGGTTAAGTTTCTGAATAAAATGATAACCCAACAAAAGACCAATTTCTTTAGGTTGTTTATGTTGTACTTAAGAATATGGTGCTACTCAACCACATTGATAATTCCTTTTTTTAGTTTTTTGATTCAACGGTCAGGATTGNTATTCCAATATCAAAATATCTAACATGATTACCTAGAGAGAAAGATAGGCTGATTGCGTGAGAGCAAAAACAAAGTTTGAGGATTGCTCGTGAGAAAGTTGTTCCTTTTGAGATCGAATTTTTAGTGACCCATGAGAGAGCCACTAAGCTGGAGGTATAGGTTGCCTGCTTGAGAGCAGAGTAGAGGCTAAACTTTTGGCGACTCGCGAGAGAGCCGCTAAGCTGGAGATATAGGCTGTCTGTTTCAGAGCAGAGCAGAGGCCAAGCTTTTGGCGACTCGCGAGAAAGTCGCTCAGCTGGAGATATGGGTTGTCTGCTTGAGAGCAAAATAGAGATAGGTCAAGCTTTTAGCGACCTGCGAGAGAGCCTCTCAACTGGAGATATAAGCTGCTTACTTGAGAGGAGAATAGAGATAGGTCAAATTTTTGGCAACCCGCGAAGGAGCCACTAAGCTGTAGATAGACTGTTTTCATGAGAACAGAGGCACAATTTGACGGTTAGCCCATGGGGGAGGGTCACCAACTCGAAGACTCATTCCAATAGATTGAGATGAGGAGGACATTGAGGAGTTGTGAGATTGGGCGCCTGGGTGTTGGACACCTGAGGCTGGGCACCTAGGTGCTGGGTGCTTAGTGTTNGGTTAAGGTGATTTACGTCCACTCTGAAGGGCTTTAGTTGGGGTGTTTTATTGCTGTAGGAGTGTAGGATGAGCAAGAAGATACAAGTTATGAGATAGAGAGGAGAGTGATAGCAGATGTGCTCAATTGAGTGTGATGTCCCCCAAGTGTTGGCGAGGTTTACAATTTATAGTCGCCTCTATCAGTAACTAGAAGACTAATTTGATAGAGCTGGTGCCATCTTCTCAATGGATGAGTCAGTTACGGCGCTCCCCATAAGATCTTGTCAAAAGATGACGTGGTGGTTTACTTCTTCTAAGGCGGCATGGATGAGACTCTTAGATGACCCTTATTCCAAGGTGGCTTGAATGAGGCTCTTGGGATGACCCTTACTCTAAGGTGGCTAAGATGAGACTCTTGGGATGACTCTTACTCCAAGGTGGCTAGAATGACCCTTCCTCATCCCTTTGTGATGTAACTCCTCAAACCCTGATTGCTGATTGGACATGGACCTCATTTGGACTGGACCCATTGAATCTTATCTAGTTGGACTCTTAATTTAAACTAGGTTCATAGCATGAGTTGGGCCTGGTCTATCATATCCTGTTTATCACCCATTAAAGTTTCATTCAAACCTGTTTAATCTATGTTGATTTGTATCGATTAATTGTGTCGTGTTAAATTTTGACAGACCTACACATGTTCATCTGTATGCATACAAAAACACGACTTCCCAATTGCATTTGTCTTCTAATCTCAATGTATTGGTTGGTTAAGTTTCTGAATAAAATGATAACCCAACAAAAGACCAATTTCTTTAGGTTGTTTATGTTGTACTTAAGAATATGGTGCTACTCAACCACATTGATAATTCCTTTTTTTAGTTTTTTGATTCAACGGTCAGGATTGTTCGGACTAAATGACACGAATTTCGATTAACTTTTTTTTCTATCAAGTTAAAAATAGAACTATCCAAGTTGAGACTAAAAAATTTATGAGAGATTTATCACTCATAACCTAGATCAAAAATAACGAGTAGATAGTATTTATGGGATTCTCCCACAAACTATTCTCAATTCACTTAAATCTAAAAATTCTTGTCATATATTGTTGAGAATTAAATAACTTATTTACTAATTTGCATAATTAAATTTATGTTAAATTGTGTCTAGGTGGTCTGGTTGAACCCAAAAATAAAGAGTAGGACAAAAACAAAAAAGGCCAACGAGGTAGCACGTGTCAAGATGTCATAGGTAAAGAGTGTGCACTTTGTCAACTCCTCGGATCTTTGCATAAATAATTGCGAAAAAAATTAAAATAACAAACAGCCCCCAGTTACACTTACACCCCAGTCTGAACCTTCTCCAATTTGTATGGATTCAGAGTTCATTTCTCTCTCATGCATCTATATATATATTATACACATTTATTTTCTCTCTCCTCACATTACCTGTTCTTCTCTTTTCTCCAAGTTCTGAAAATGGAAATAGTATCGCTATGAACCAACTGCCCTGTGGCTGAGGTGGTGGCTAGTAATAAAGTCTCTCTCTCTACATATATACATTGGGCCCTTATTATTGGAGACTTTCCAATTTTCTTCTTATTTACTTGTGTCTTCTATGTAATAAGACTAGGCCAACNTAATAAAGTCTCTCTCTCTACATATATACATTGGGCCCTTATTATTGGAGACTTTCCGATTTTCTTCTTATTTACTTGTGTCTTCTATGTAATAAGACTAGGCCAATTTTGCATTTTTATTTTGATCCTCTATTTTCTGCAAAGAAAGAATTAGTAGGAGATCAGAAAGTTGCAGCTTACGAGGAACAAAAAAGAGTCAAACATTGGGGGAGACTGTATAACAGATCGGAAAAAGTTTGGGTATTGACTTGTTCATTATTCGGCTGTTTCTGGAAAGCAAATGCTTGTGAGCACTCTCTCTCTCTCTCTCACACACACACACACACAGAGGTGTAACAGTGATTTCCAGTGTCATGATTAATGCATAAATCCATTTCTTGTATTGGTCTTTGTATGCTAACATAATTGTATTGGTCTTTGTTGGTGGGAATTAACTCATTGCATTCAGGTTTCATGATTTGTTCGATCAGTACAACAGATTATGTAATTTCAGATTGTGGGTCTGACTTACAATTTTGAAATATTTGATCTTATATACTACATATAATCCATGTTTTTTACTAGTTCCACTTCAATTCAAAGAACTGGTCACATGTTTGACCTGAACTTTTGGTCTAAAAAGAAGAGAGAGGGGAGTCTTTGATACTCTAACCCAAAAAGTTGATGCGTCTCCTTTCCATCTCTTCACATGATTCCTACTAAAGGAAGGGATAGTTTACTTTCTTTCCTTTCATGGCTTCCAATTCATTGATGGTTGTGTTCCAGTGATTCATTGCCACTCATTCACAGACCTTTTGTCCTTTCATTATGATTGCAGATCAAGTGTTCTAATTCATGCCACTGTGAGATATTGTCAGAGTGCCATTGCTTATGGTAATTCCAGATCCGTAAGGTCTCGTCCCTTTAATCCTTTACTGTGTTTTCATTTTTTAATGGGACAAAAAAATTGACGAATGCTTACTATCCGGGTATAGAGTTGTTTCTCAAATGATTTTTTCCTATACTTCTGCGTTATGATTGACTGATAATGAATTTCAGATTCCAAGATGAGATTCAACTAACAAAATTCCCATCAATCAATGGAGACAGTTTGGTTAAGGTCCAATACAAAATAGATGGAACACAAATACCAGGACAAAGCTCTAAGAAGGGTGAGAAGGTGGCTGACATGTCTAGAAGTTCCTTGAAAGCAAAAGTATTATCAAGAGTCTTCTCAGAGGACTATGAGAGAGTGAAAAGAAAGATATTGGATCCTCGAGGACCAACCATACGTCGATGGAACAAAATATTCTTAGCAGCATGTTTAGTTTCTTTGTTTGTGGACCCTCTGTTCTTTTATTTGCCAGTGGTTCGAGAGGAAGTTTGCATAGACATAGGATTCAATCTTGAGGTTGCTCTTACAATTATAAGATCAATTGCGGATGTATTCTACATGATTCAGATTTATATACGATATCGTACTGCCTATGTTGCTCCTTCCTCTCGTGTATTTGGGAGGGGAGAGCTTGTCATAGACTCTTCAAAGATTGCATCAAGGTACTTGCGCAAAGGTTTCTGGATTGATTTTATTGCTGCCCTGCCAATTCCACAGGTATGAAGTTAAATTCTATTGCTTTATGCCTTTCTATGAAATGATAATATTTTAGGGCTTCTGTATTTTGTTTTCATTTCAGGTACTAATTTGGGCAATTATACCCAATCTAAATGGTTCACTGATGTTAAACACAAGAAACGTCCTTCGCTTCTTTCTCATTTTTCAGTATGTCCCGAGACTTTTTCTTATATTTCCACTCTCAATGGAAATTGCCAACTCTACCGGTGTTGTGACAGAAACAGCATGGGCTGGGGCTGCCTACAACTTGATACTATATATATTAGCAAGTCATGTAAGTTCAAAGAAACTTGGTTGATCTTATTTCAACTATACATCTCTATTGCTAGTCACTTCTCTAACAGGCTTATTTGCCCTTTTTTCTGGGAAAGCAGGCAGTTATCAAACCACATGAATTTTGCAGTTTAGTTACTTGTTTTCCCCTATTGTTCCTGTTTGATTAACATTATCATGTTTGCATTTTTATGAACTCTGGCTTAGCTTGTTATTGTCTTTATATTAGATTTCATCGCTATTATCTAGTATAATATAACTGTAACAGATGGACATAGCATGTTCAACTCATTGGCCAGTCATTGCTTTGGTTATTGAAAACTATCAAAAAAAAAAAAAGGAAGGATAGGGAAAAGTATCTTGGTGACTGATATAATGTCTATTTGTTTGTTGTTCGCGAACGGATGTGAATGTGGTGGGTGGATCATAACATAGAAGTTAAACAAAAAGTGAGCTTGGTGCTCTTTTGATTGTGTGAAGACATAACCAAAATTTGATGTTATAAACCTCACCAACTCCTGCTGTTCCTGACAATCAAATGGAGAATAAATGTTTTTACTAGCAACTATAGTATTTGGAAGGAGTGTCCGTATATAATTTGCTATAAGAATAAACATTCTTTTCAGCCAATCAGTTCCTTTCTGTTGTTTCAAATATAGGTTTTAGGAGCCTGCTGGTACCTTCTATCAATCGAAAGGCAAGAAGCATGCTGGAGATATGCCTGCAGTCTTGAGAAGTCATCTTGTCAATACAGGTTCTTCGACTGCCATAGTGTCAAGGATAATGATAGAATTTCCTGGTTCCAATCAAGCAATGTCACAACTCTATGTGATCCAAATGGTGGCTCTTATCCATTTGGTATTTATGGTGATGCTGTGACTTTGGGTGTTGCATCCTCCAAGTTCTTAAATATGTACTTCTACTGTCTTTGGTGGGGCTTGAGGAACCTGAGGTAATATACTTTCCTGAACTCTAAGTTTTGTGAGTGGGTCAAGCTTATTTTCCTAAAGGAGATTCACTAGCTTTAAAAACGGATCAACAAGTTTTTAGTTCTTTTCCTGCTAAAGTTTTCTTCCTGAAAATGAGTAAGAAGACTTATTAATGAGTCCAATTTTCAACCCTGGTAGGCTTTAGTCATCCAGCTTTCAAGGATGCAAGTGTACAAAATACACTAGACGTTGGATTGGATATAGAAGTCTGGAATCTTATGATTGTGATGCAAATTCCCAATAGTAACGTTTGTAGACCTACCAAACAGATGATATTTTTCTTTCAATTCATGCCTTGCTAGGTGAATAGGAGACGGTGAAATATTTTTCCACCTTGACCAAGATTGGATAATTTTACTTTCATGGGACTTCTAAATACTCGGTCAATCTTAATGCATGCTCTAATATGACATGCATCTTGGTTAACAAGTGCAGTTCTCTAGGGCAAAATCTTTCCACAAGCACTTATGTTGGAGAAAACAGTTTTGCCATCATTGTTGCAACTCTGGGCTTGGTTCTCTTTGCATTGCTCATTGGGAATATGCAGGTAAGTCGATAGCTGTGGACTCAAGTACGTAAGCTTTAAGCATTTGAAGTTAATTGAAAAGCAACTATTATTTTCAATGGCATGATCAGCTTAGGCATAGACATGGCTTCATAAAAACGCCCTGAGGCTAAATTTAAGGACTCAATTCATAAATTTTGAGGTGCACAGCGCATTCAGGGGCTATGTTTTGTGCCTCAATCATGAACCATTCATGACTATCTTCTTTACTTCTTACAAGAACTTGCTATATCATAGTTTTTCAGTCTATGGCTTCACGACACTGATACACTTTTTTCACTGGCAGTCCTACCTCCAATCTACAACTGTTCGATTGGAAGAATGGAGGATCAAGAGAACCGATACAGAACAATGGATGCATCACAGGCAACTACCCCCAGAATTAAGGCAGTCTGTACAGAAATATGATCAGTACAAATGGGTGGCTACTCAAGGAGTTGATGAAGAAGCCATTGTTAAAGACCTCCCTTTGGATCTCCGAAGAGATATCAAGCGCCACTTATGTTATGATCTTGTTCGACGAGTAAGTCTTAAGATCTACTATCTCATTCTCCCTTTTTTGTTCGATCCTCAATGGTATGGAACTTTGGATGAAATATTTTTGACAGTTAAAAACACATTTAGACCACTTATAATAGCTAGACATGAAATGAATACTTTTTGACAACTTGAAAAGCATTTGGGGAGAAAGTGAGAGTCAACTAAAATGTTGTGTTCTTATCTGTGCCTCTAAAAATGAACAGGTTCCATTGTTTGATCAAATGGATGAACAGATGCTAGATGCGATATGTGAGAGACTCAAACCAGCCTTGTGCACCCAAGGCACTACCCTAGTGCGTGAAGGCGACCCTGTCAATGAAATGCTCTTCATTATCCGAGGCAACCTAGATTCTTATACCACCAATGGTGGCCGTACTGGATTCTTCAATTCATGCAGTATAGGTCCAGGCGATTTCTGTGGTGAGGAACTGCTGACATGGGTTCTCGACCCTCATCCAAATATCATCCTGCCATCATCAACTCGCACAGTTAAAGCCATATGCGAAGTAGAAGCATTTGCACTCATATCAGAGGACTTAAAGTTTGTGTCATCACAATTTCGAAGACTACACAGCAAACAACTCAGGCATAAATTCAGGTTTTACTCGCATCATTGGCGAGCATGGGCAGCATGTTTCATACAAGCAGCATGGCGTCGGTTTGAAAAACGTAAGAGTGCTACTGAACTATTGGCTATGGAGGATCTGGTGGCACCTGAATCTGAACTGTTAGAAGGAAAATTGGATGTAAATGTGCGTCCTCCACCAGTGTCAGGCCTGGCCGAGTATGCAGCAAGGTTGGCAGCAAACACTAGGAGGGGAATCAATATGCATTTCGGGTCGGATTCGAGTGATGTCAGTTCATTGCGGAAGCCAGCAGAACCTGATTTTTCTGTAGTTGAGGAGTGATTTCATAAAAATTTTATACATGCATGCAGCCAAGGGGACCTTAGATTTATTGATTTGTTCAGCTATACACATTACGAACTCCTATGAATCATTATCACATTGAGCCTATAATACTGGGCTTGATTATGTCTCCAAGGTCATAAGCCAGAGGGAGAGATTTTTGGGTATAGTCCAATCATACCTGGGTTGGGCCAAAAACCATTGACACATTTTTGGGCCGGGCGGGAGGCTAAGGCCATAAGAGAAGATTGTTTTCCAAGTAAGGAACACAGAAAAAGGATGTTGTCATTCTCTCTCCATCAGTTTCCCTAGGCATTTGGAAATTCAGAACGACTCAGAGAACAACTTGCCAAGCTATGAAAAATTTGGTTGGACACACTAACAAAAGGGCAGTGCATTCTACCTCCATCTCTTATTCTCAATATAATTAAGAGTAATGCTACACAGACTTAAAATTTAGACTTAAAATATAAATTTGATGATGTGACTGCTTATGTGTACCAGTCATGTCATCAGTTTCAAAAAAAAAAAAATTCTGTTTTTAAAGAAAGATCAGATGACTTGACCGATCACCTTCCCTCTTCCCTCTTCTTCTCCCTTCCCTTTCACTAAACCAAACACAATTTTCCCTTTCACCCCTATGCTGAAGACCTTTTTGTTTAAAAAGAAATTGAACAGCCGATTGTTTCACCACATCCGAAGCCGAACTGATTGTTGTGGTTCTTGGGTGAGGTCTTCAAGGCTTTTTTGAAATACCATAGGGTGGAACCCTAGCTGCAGCAATAAGGCTCTTGGGTGAGGTCTTTGATGTTCTTTGTGACTTTCCTATCATAGATCCCTATGAAAACTTACTGGTTTTTGAGTGGGCAAGTTTTGGCGTAGGGAAACGGGTAGGGAGGAGCAGATAAAGAAATCCTATGGCTGGCCGGCGATTTTTGGTTTGGTGAAACCGTGAAAGGGACAGGAGAAGACGAGGGGAGATGATCGGCCAAGTCATCTGATCTTTCTTTAAAAATAGATTTTTTTTTTTTTGAAACCAGTGACATGGTTGGTACACATCAGCAGCCATATCATCAAGTCTATATTTTAAGTCTAAATTTTAAGTCTGTCTAACATTACTCTATAAAATTTAGACTTAAAATATAGACTTGATGATATGGCTGCTGATGTGTACCAACCATGTCACCGGTTTCAAAAAAAAAAAATCTATTTTTAAAGAAAGATCAGATGACTTGGCCGATCATCTCCCCTCGTCTTCTCCTGTCCCTTTCACGGTTTCACCAAACCAAAAACCGCCGGCCAGCCATAGGATTTCTTTATCTGCTCCTCCCTACCCCCTTCCCTACGCCAAAACTTGCCCACTCAAAAACCAGTAAGTTTTCATAGGGATCTATGATAGGAAAGTCAC